CCGGGAATGCCAGCTGCCCCGCTTCATGCCCTGCTTTCAGTCCAGAGCTGCCCCCAGGCCGCGAGAACCTCATATTAGGTGCTAAAGTAAATAGACCCCCCCTCCTCCTCCCTAACCCCGCTAACAAAGGACAGGACGTCCCCGAGCCCCCAGCCCCAGCGGCAGCCTCCGTGCCCCCAGCACCCGGTGAGGTTTACAGCGCGTAGGACACGGATGGATTGCGCGGGCAAAGGGAGGCAGTGCAGGTGTCTGCCGGGCCCGGAGCCTCGGGGTCTTCCCAGAGGAGCCGGCCCAGCCCGTGACCAGAGGAAGTGACCTGAGCCAGGAGCGTGGACGAGTCCGTGGGCCCCCAGCCCCAGCGGCAGCCTCCGTGCCCCCAGCACCCGGTGAGGTTTACAGCGCGTAGGACACGGATGGATTGCGCGGGCAAAGGGAGGCAGTGCAGGTGTCTGCCGGGCCCGGAGCCTCGGGGTCTTCCCAGAGGAGCCGGCCCAGCCCGTGACCAGAGGAAGTGACCTGAGCCAGGAGCGTGGACGAGTCCGTGGGGCCCTGGCTTTGGTCTCTCCTCCCCGGTGGAACAGCTCGGCCCCTCCAGCTCGCACCCTAGCACTTCCCACTGCCACGTGGTCCAAAAGCTTCCTCTTCCCTCCATTGCTCCCTGGGAAGCGCCCACCTGCCAGCCTTGCCCAGGGGCCCATGGGCTCCCTGCCTGTTGCAGGGTGAAAGCTTCCCCTCGCCTCTCTCCCCCCAAAGTCGCAGCCAGCCCCTCTCCCCACCGGAGGAGCTGAAGATGCTGCGGGCAGGGAGTAGGGGTGCCCTGGGCAGGGCCAGGTAGGGGTTGGATCTGCCACCCCTGTGAGGCTGGGTGCACAGCACCAGCGCGTTTTTATAGCAAAAAATCCAAACCAAACCCCCACCCCTGACCCTGGGACTCACACTGGGAACGTGCTACCACCCCCAGGGCTCAGTGCGTGAGCCCCAGTGTCTGTACCACCCCCCCCACCCC